CGTGTATTCGATTCAAAAATACCAACTTCGGATGGTATTCCTATTAATGCCCAAGTTATTTGCAAATTCAAATCATCAAGCTTATCATCACTAAATAAAATTATAAAATAATAATTAACGATATGATAAAGAAAAAAAAAATTCAATTATGATTAAAAACTTTATAACTTACGAAAAGATTTCAATTATCGCTAAAAATCCAGATTTATCTTTAGATTTAAATTTAACGTCAACATTTTCATATTGAGTATCATCCTGTTTCAAGACTTTACCGAAAATTTGATAATTTGTTGATTCCAAAGAAGAATCAAAGTTCACACGATATTTAAATTGTGAACTTTTAATTGATATTACACCTGATTTAAGAACTTTCTCTTTAACTCCGCTACTGATCGATTGTTCATCATTTCCGAGACATAATTTGACTTCTTGACATAAATATGAATTTAATATTTCATATAAAGGATATAAACCTTCCCAACCGATAATGTTTAATGAATCATAACTCCTTTTTATACAAGAAGTTGCCCATTCTTTAATCATAACTCTCTTAACCGCATTACCATCCATTGATGTTAATGATGACGAGTCAATGTTATGAGATTTTATGCAGTTTTCCCATTGAATAATAATATTATTGTAATCAGTACACTCTGGTGAAAAATCATCGATAGTTTCAAATTCTTTATTGATTGGTTTTGGGTCTGTTGATTTTATATTTACACTTGGTAATTTCGATATTGAATATAATTTATCACCAAGTATAACTTTACTAGGTAAGAAATGTCCAAATTTTTCGAATACTTTTATCAATTCTCGATATGGATTTTTATGATCTAGAGCATTTTGAATAGCACCAGTAAACTCTTTGGATGGTTTTATGGAACCTTTCTCAAAACTGATTTCAGCTTTTGGATATTTTATTTCTAAATAAACAGAATCCACTTGCGATATGTTATTTAGATAGTCAGCATCAGATATCCAATTAAGATCCAACTTAGTTGATTCGATATGATTCTCTAATAAAAAGGTTGATGAATGTATTAATTTTGCTTGAAATTTTATAGTATCTAAAACTTTCATTCTTGGTTTTGACGTAAAGGCACATGTTGGAGCTGCAGTCAGTAATTTTTTCTCTGTGTTGATAATCAAACCATGAGTTAATTCTTTACTAATTGAGCTTGGTACATCTTGTAAATTTTGTAAATTTTGTGAACTTGGTGTCTCTGATGGTATTGGATCATTATCGGCTTCTTCCGATAGCTTATCGTTGTCGTTATTGCTATCTTCGTTATCATTATAGTCACTTTCGCAGATGTCTGATGGTTCACCCTCATCTGATATGTAATCTGATGATTTAATTGATATATTCGACTGTCTTGGTTTAGTTTCATATACATCGTCGAAAGACATAGTTGACGGTCTTGATCTAATTACATCTTCGAATGACATACTCGACGGTCTTGATTTAGCATCGTCGAACGATATTCTCAAATCTGGAATTTCTAACATACTCGACGGTCTTGATTGTCTTGATTGTCTAGTTCCATTTACATCGTTTGTTTCCATTAAATCTAAAGTTTCATTTGGTTCCTTGATCGTTTCAGTTTTTATTGAATTCAAAGGTTTATCGGATGTTTCGTTATCGCTACCGCTGTCGATTTCTAATGATTTTTTCATGTTATATGGAATATATACATTATCTACACTTTCCAAATTCGGTACTAGAATTGAATGCCGCCTGTGATGGGGAATAGATCCATCCGGTGTTGAACAGACAGAACCCGAATCAATTTTCTCAAGTTTATTAAGGTCAGCTTCAATATCCGAAAATCTCAATAGAATTTCATCCATCCTAATCCTTTTTTCTGGTTTGTTATCCCATCCTTTATTTCGTAAATGATTTAAAAATATTAGTGCAGAATTCATGAGCAGAAAATCATTTATATAAGTAATAATTGATAACAATACCTTCTACAATGATTCTTAAGTATTTTCTTTGAATGTTAAGAAATTCCAATACATAAAAACGTGGATCAGGGGATGATTCTCTACGACCATTTGTAACATGAGCAACAATTTCTTCTTTACTCATTTTTTCATAGGGAATCTTTTGAAAAGCTAGTTCCCATAAAAGCATTACGTAGCTATACAATTAACAATGTATAGAATTATTAACATAACCATGACATAACTGGAATTGTTACAATAAGAAAGCTCTTTTGAATAGATACCTGAAAACTTCACATCCTTGTGTATATATGGCATTGTTTTGCATCATTTCAGGTGCATACCAATTAATAATTCTCAAGATATAATCCGAGATATTACCATCTTCATTATCTGGTATTATCTCTGTTGCATGTTTGGCAAGATAAAAATTTGCAATCTTCGGTTCCATATAATGAGTCATCTATGATAAATAGATAAATAAAAATTAGATTTTAACAGAATTTTGAAAAGATTTTTTAAAAAAAATTTACCATTATATTCTCACATCGAACATCACGATGAAAAATGTCAGCGTGACTTAAAAATAATAAACCTTGACAAATATCATGTGCAATTTTCACTTTTAAATCCCAAGGAATTTTCTTTTTTTCGTAGACGTTCTTCAAGCTACCCAAACTTGTCCATTCGAATACCAACATTTCATCACCATCAATCTTTGAAAGTCCATAAAATTTAAGGATATTTCGGCTTTCATTAAATCTCTTTAATTCACTCAAAATTGACATGTTTTGTTCGAAAGTATTAATTGACTCGCATGCCACTTCCACACTACGTTTATAGATCTTCTTTACGGTATGTTTTGTTTGTACACAGTCATCTAGACCCCATTCTGACTTCCTGCCAGGCTCATTTTCAACATTTATATTCGAATCATCTATAGTAGGAGAATCAAATAATAATGCAGGATCTATACGTGGAACACTGATATCAATAACTGATCTTTCGACCAAGTTTTGAATTATTTCTTCAATTCGAACTATGTATTCATTTTTATTGTTATTAGGAATAGTTTTTAAAATCTATTATACGTAATAAAATAATAGTATACTATTTTAGATAATAAAGTAGAAATTAGAATAATTTATTTTTATTTGACACAAATACAAATATACGGTACGTCATGAATATTTCTAAAAGCTTCCTGTTGACTTTCTTGTTTGTTCATTATAGTTTTAGTTATAAATGATGAATTTTTTTTATTTTATTTTTTTATTTTTTTATTTTTACAATTCTTATGATCCTTTACGAATAAAAGAATATCAATTCTTTTTTACATTAACTATTTCTTTCGCAATTCATTTATATCTTTCTAAAGAGAAATGCTTCTGTAGCACTAGTTTCATAACACTACCTTATACGCAATATTATGCAGATCAGTATGGGCTTTGTGAGCAGATCAGTATAGTATAGGTCAATTTTTAAAATCTATATTAGCGTTAGAATCAAAAATTATAGTTGTTAGCATGGTTTTTAAAAATTCTCCTGATTTGCTATATTCTCCCTTATACGTATAGTGCTTACGTATGCAATTATAAAAATATAGTACCGAATTCAAATTTGTGCGATAAAATTGGAATCAAGAGCTTGATCTCATAATTTATAGCTAGAATTTTTTTTTTTTTTGTTAATACATAAGGCACGAACAGTCTCTAATGTGGAGTGAATAATTGGGTTAATGAATTTTTTTTTACTTCTAGGGTTATAATGATGTATTTTATTTTATTAATTAACCTGTAATGTATGCAAGACACGCTTTTAGGAATTACAATTGGTGTTGCAATAAAAAGAATCATTTAAACTTAACAATATATAATAAATAATAGAAATGGAAATTTATATGATTGAAATATATTTTATGATCATTAAAAATTAAAATTTACCATATCCTGATAAGAATAAGTTTGCTTATTCATAATATTACACCTGAAGTTGACCTCTAATAACAACTCCGGGAACAAGACGAAACTAATCATCAAGACTAGTTATCGGGGATTTGGCTAATCAAATAGGCGTCGGATGAATGACTTATCAAGAGGTTTATTAAGGCTTTATCGAAAGAGGCTAACAACCAAACGTATATGAAGATACGAAGGGTTGTAAAAGGTAACAACTCAATTACCACGAGTCACACATGGATACTAATGATCATGAGTCACACATGATCACGAACCTAACTAATTTATTCAACAAATAAAATGTCACGAGTCACACGTGACAACTTCCATAGTTTATTAATAACAACAAAGGGCAACTATACGAAGATAGTTACTACCATGTTGGAGAATTCGGGATAGTCTATTAAGGGAACTATATATGTGGAGATATAGTATATAATTATTAAAGGGGACCGAAGTCTGAAGAAACTATCTGTGGGCAAAATCCACAGCCTTTAAATAACTTCCGCGGCCATATAATTAATTACAATAGTTGAATTGAGATACTATCTATCGATCTATCTATTAAAGATCGTTCTTTTCAACTCCAATTCCCTCACAGATACTATCATACTTTCACCTGCTTGCACGTCTCAACGATATCTTTTAAGCATAATAAGGCCAGGTCCATATAGTGATCGCTGGCGCAGCCGTAGCTATTAGGATTAACCATAGCTGCCGCAACAAATTTGGACCGGCAGATCCTCGATTTTGATTGGCTAACGGCCGAGGATCTTCGAAATTTTGGCCCACATTACAAAATTGGTTACTAATTTCCGGCCGGAATTAACTTTTTAATTTTTTTATTACAAAAATAGAAATTCTTAAAAAATAAGCCCGCACTATGGTAAAATTGGCCCAGGAACAATTTTCATTTAATGGGCGGCTATGATTTCATTAGTAATTCCGATTAGGCTCTTTCAGGGCTTCTATTGATGTCGCGACATGCGCTATGACTAATCTTCACACCATCAGTATAGGGACCGTTATAGCAACTAATGGGGGACTATGCATGATAATACAATTAGGGTGTCAATATAATTAGATTGGTAAATTATTACGGATAATCATGGGTAGATCTATAAAAATTAACCAATCAAATGAATATCTTCCTATGACTATATTACCTACTATAGTTACGTACGGAGTCATTCTACTGCTATTTCTGAAAAATTTTCCGATTAATAAAAACTCTATAAAAAGAAAAAAGCAGGTAATGTCATGCTAAAATTTTTATGCAAAATTTGCATTTATTTGCATTTAATAATTTGTTAATTGTTCAATAGTATACTTTGCATAAATAGTAGACATTTATTTACAGTACTTCGTACAGTATGCGAATTCATTTTTTAAAAGAAAAATTTTAACAAATTTCTACTCTCTTTCATACTTTATTTTCGAATTTTCTTTAAAATAACATCGATATGGGATGTGTTCCTTCTAAATTTAAAGAAAACTCCGCTTCTATGGATTCACAAAGTTCACAAACAGAAGAATTTCGATACATTGATGGTAGAAGATATCATAATGAAGAAAACGTCGGATACCATTTACCAAACGATGACGAAGAAACAGATAGATTACATGAACAACATTTCATAATGAAATATATCTGGCAAAGTAATTTTTCGGCTCCTGTTGAGCACATTTTGTCTAAATCAGGTGCTAAAATCCTTGATGTTGGGTATGTACGTACGTATGTAATTAAGTTTATAGGAGAAAGCAACAAATGCATGTTATTGGGTCACTTCTAATACATGTACACAAACTTTGCTCACCAGTTGAGCGAAATTTGTATCATTTTTAAAAATGACACAAGATGCTTCATCAGAATATACAAATTACGAATTTCATAATTTTAATTTTAAAAAAATTTAATTTTAAAAATTTTATTTTATCTTGGCCAAGTTCACACAAAAATTACTGTAAGTTCCGAAAATAAGCTCCCTTGGCCCGCAGAATGCCAATTTTAGCCTGCATTATAATGATCTCGGCCAGTATTACATGCAAAAAAAGGAGCTCTTATTTTTGGGACTATACGATCCTCAACATATTGATAAACTATAAATGAATTCTTCAAAAATGACTTTAAAATATACATATTTCACAATTATTAGGGAAAATATTTTGTTTAAAAAAATATTTATCATTAAAATATATTTTATTTTAGGTGTGGTCCAGCGTCATGGTCATTTGATATTGCAACCGCGTGAGTATTATTCGAATGAATAAAATTTTTATTTTCATCACACCTTTTTCAATTTGCATATTTGAAAGAGAATCTATTAGTTTGGGATTAAGTTTGAGTCAAATATTATAGGTAAAATTACTATCCCGATATTCTTTTCTTTTTCGCTTATTTTTTAGTAAAATTTATTATCTGGAAAACCGCGCGACCTTTTTATGCTAATCCTTATACGTAATATTCTTCAGGTATCCATTGTCTAAGGTTATTGGGTTGGATATATCTACACACCAACCAACTCAGATAAAACCTAAAAATTTTGAATTCGTTAAGGCAAATGCTCAAGAAGGTTTACCATTCGATGACAACACTTTTGATTTTGTATTTCAACGATATTTGATCGCCGGATATAATAAAGAGAAGTGGCAATATGTAATAAATGAGATTGTTAGAGTTTTAAAACCAGGCGGATACTTAGAAGTATGTTTATTTCAAAATCATTATGGTATTTATTAAGATTTTAAAAAGTGTGTTTTAATCAACATGCTTTTTTAAAAAAAAGTTATGTGAACCCTCGAATCCATTTGATAATGGACCAGTTTCTCGACGTATCTTTATGAGTGGTATGTGTCTTAATAATATCTGATAACATTACTCTTTTATTTACACGTTATATTTAATATCATGAAGAAGTTGAAATATTTGAAGAAAAAGGCTGTGATATAGATATATATGAAAAATTGGATGATTATTTACAAAACCAAGGTTTTTAATTCTTTATCCAATTGCATTTTAATAATCTATATGATTTATATAAATAAAGTTATCATAATAATTCATTAATAAATTGCATACACTCTAAATTAGGGCAAGTGGAAAATATTAAAAAAGAGGCGAAAAAAATCTATTATAATGCAAAGCACAGTAACGATATCGGACTTAGTAAAGCGGTAATGTATTGTACAAACTGAATTATTTTTTTAAAAAAATACTAATCAAGTTTTTTGAAATTATATTAACAGTTAGTCGGTTCTACGATGAATACATTAGTTTCTCTTAAACCTCTTTTAACAAAAAAAATGGAAATTTCTAATAAAGAATATGATAAGTTGGCCAAAATGGTAGAAAAAGAACTAATTGAGCTTGATTTTTATCTTATTGTGGTTCGTATTTATGCTAACAAAGTTATTGATAAGTAAAATGAATCAAAAATGTAAAGTAATATACAATGGAAAATATTTAATATTATTAATAATATATATGATAAACATCTGAGCTATAGCTATTATTTTATTTTATTCATTATTTATTTAAATTATTTACTACCTAAACATCTTTGTTACTTTACCTTCTCTATCTCTAACATTTAAATCTCTTGGCATTATACAATGCGTTACGAAAATAATAATGAATATTCTACTTATAGATTTATCAAATTTTAAAAAAAAAAATTGTATTATATTTTGTGGCTTTAAGTTATATATTATAAATGTAAATTGAATCCTGATGCGTATAAATATGATTTATCAAAATTTTAAAAAAAAATTGTATTATATTTTGTGGTTTTAAGTTATATATTATAAATGTAAATTGAATCCTGATGCGTATAAATATAATTTATCCGGATATACTAGGATCATTCAAAGTTAATGTACAGTTTTCCGATTTTGAATTAAATTATTGGCGCATTGCTTTAAATAAGTGATTTATAATTTATAATTCTATTTGTGACGATAATATATATTATCAGAAAATACATCTATTTCGTTTTCTGATTTCGGAATTTCAAAACATAAATGGAATTTTTTAAAACTCCAGCTTATTATCGAAATAAGCTGATCCCTACTGTGCTTTTCAAAATAATAATAATATAATCATAATAAAATTTTCCGAACTATGAAGATACCTTAAAAAAGTCTGATTGATTTAAATGTTCGAAATCATTTTCAATCCCAACAATTAAAGAATTTAGGTGTTAATAAGATCTTTTTGTTTAACAACTTAAGATATTTTAAAATCGTTTGGAACACATAATGCGACCGAATTTTTAAGCACCCCAGAAAATGTGTACCAGGTTGGGTTAGGATGATGGTCTGGAAAATGTTTAGAAATATAACGATAATATAAAACACCAATTTCAACACATATCTAATGCACAGGATAATACAAATAAACTTGAATTTCGACATTATAATAGTTTATTTCTTTTTAACCATTTGGATTGTTTTTTGTGACGTACTTCGATAAATTAGGCCATTTGCAATTGAAACTTCGTTTAACGTTGTATTTACAAAGGAGAGGTGGAGGGGTGAAAATTAAAAAACATAAAATTAAACATAGTGTACCGAAAAATCCCGGCTGCTATGTTGGCTATCATATCGATCAAATTTTCATTTCTATTTATTTAATTTTTTGGGGAAGCCCAGGAGATGTGGGGAGGATAACGTTAAATGAAGTTTCAACTTCAAACGGCCTTATGCACTCCTTTTGCAATTAATCATTCTTTACGCCCTGATTGATGTTTTCTTTCTGAATATTCGTTGACTGTGATGAAATTTGGTGAAACAAGATAAGACGCTATGGTAAAGATTCTGATTTTTAGTATCTTTCTTGAAATATTCAATGCCGACAAAAAGTAGGCTATTCTTAACGTTACTAATGACAGGTTGAAAAACTTTCAATAGATATTATATTCTTATCAGATTTTCGTTGTTACATAGTTGTTAAATAAATTTTGAATTATTATTAACTAGCGTAGCACATGTAGACCATGTTTTAGAGAGATTAGTTTTTTTTAGAAGTTTAAATTGGATATTTTATATGGTACATGATGTATAATGTAACGTGCATATTTAATAGAAAGTTGATAAAGGTTAGATTGTACAGGGATTTGATTTTAGAGTGTTGTGGTTTTGTTAAGTGTTTTGGTTTCATCGCTTATATTATATTGTCGTGTCCGTAACCAGTCCACGGCGTTTTTGTTGGCCTTTCCTATTAGAATTTCTTTGTTTCACTTAACCACAAGATAGTGTATTATTAGGTATTTCCTCATGTGCCCCTACCACGCACATAAGAGTCGTAACCATCCATAACTGAGTTACGTCCTTTTGTAAGCGAAAAGGTTCCTTATATACTACTCTAAATTAATTGCATCATAATTAATCATAGATACTTATCTTTTACTTAAATTACATCATTAATTAATCATCTGATAATTCAGTATTTATCTTTCTTAATCTCATATTTCTTATGCACCTTGATCGATTCTCGATTGATCATGGTTATACGCATTAAACTATCGACTAGTACTGTAGTAAACCCCGTATGATATGCCGTAGATCCTGTTGCACAATTCCAGGACCAATTTTATTAATATTTGATATAATACAGTCAGACCTCTCTAAATTCATAGCCGTGGACGGCCAAAAAATCATGCATTTAGAGAGGTATTGCATTTAGGAAGGTAAAAATCTATAAGTGCCATATGAGTTGGGGCCAAAACAAGGCCATGCATTTAGAGAGACTATGCATTTAAATAACATGCATTTAGGGAGGTATATCTCGATAATAAATCTGCTTTTTTGAGCGTATATTCGAGCGGACTTAAAGTGAATTATGAAGGTGGATCTTAGAGATAGGCAAATCGATTTTTTTCAAATTTCTTGCGCATGAAATGGTTTATCTGCATTATGCTTAAACTAGCACCCGACCCGTAGCTCCGCCACGTTTCTTTAACAATTCATAAAAATTTTAAAAGCTTGATCAGGAATGCATAATTTTCATTAAGCGTGAGTTAAATAATATCAATATAATATTAATAGTTATATATAACTCTTACTCTATATTAGGCTACCCTTAACTTTCAAAAGGATGGTGTGTTACCGCTAATGGAGATATTGAAATCGTAATTTTTATTGTGAGCTACTGTAAAAAATTCTGCTACAAATCTTAGTTAAAGTTAAGTTTGTATTAGATTTCTATTAAGCATTACAGAACTTACTATTTGATGTCAACTGTATACATTGAGATTATTGTGATTTCTACTATGAGCTGATGTAAAAACTTTTTATGCAATTACTTACTATCCCAGAGATCATAGCATGTAGTTAAAGTATTACTGTAAAAATTTCAATACAAAACCTACTTTATATTCCAGTACACAACATATGCAATTAAGGTTGAGTTATTACTGTTACAGAACACTTGCTATTTCAGTGTTCACAGTATATGATTAAGGTCGAGTTAGTCGGACAGACTTGATGACTTACCATCCTTAAACGAAAACTCATTTCGTAATCGGGTTTATAAATGTTACTCGAACATCCGCCCCTTCCACTATTCCCCTCCCTATAAGGGTTTAGGTCCACGTCCATTTCACTACCCCTAGCTAGGAAAATAAACATAATGTTTTAAAACGTTTGATTTAAACCTGTTTTTTAATAAATTAAAACATTCTGACGTAATCATAAACGTAACAATGGGATAGTATTTATTTAATTGATTTAATACATTCTGACGTAA